TGCCTTGACGTTGTATTGAAGACTGTAACTTTGATGTTGATTGATAGTTGCTTTGAGTCTCATATGTTCTTCAACTGTATGAATGTGGACCTTGCTTTGATAATCCATGCCTTCATATCTGCATCAGATCCTCCTTGTTTATCAATCATGCTGTTCAGATAAGTGAACGTTTCCACCTCTTCATGAGCTCCTCTATCAAGTGTGATTTGGTCGGTGTTCTGTGTTGTATTTGAGGATCATGCTTTTCTCTTGTGCGTATTGAGGCATATTGCTGCAGGGGTTGTTCTATAAGGTTCTTCTATCCACACTGTCAAACGCTTTCTCATAGTCTAGGAAGTTGATGTGTCGTGATGAATTTCATTCAATTGATTTTTTCACAATGATCCATAGAGTTGCGATTCGGTCTGTACATGATCTATCCTTACGGAATCCAGTGTGTTGGTCTCGAAATTGAGCGTCTAAGGAGTCCTTCATTCTGTTTAAAAATACCCTGTTGAAGACTTTTCTTAGTATGGAAAGACGAGTGATGCCCTTGTAGTTATCGCACTTGCTGAGATCGGCTTTCGGTATCTTGATCAGAAGTCCTTCTTTCCAGTCTGTTGGTGCTTGTTCTTCATCCCAAATCTTACTGAAGAGTATGTGGAGTATATCTGTTAGTTGTTGCTACATTTGCTTTCAGTGCCTCTGCCAGGATGTTGTCTGGTCCCACAGCGTTGCCGCTCTTGATTTGTCTGGTGGACATGCTGATCTCTTCGTTTTTTAGTGGGCCAACATTGATTGAGAGATCCGTGGGTGCTGCTTCGATGTTGGGTGGGTTCAGTGGAGCTGGTCGATTCAGGAGTTCTTTAAAAAGTTCTACTCATCTGTTCCGTTGTTCTTCAATGTTGGTAATTACTTTGCCTTCTTTGCTTTTCAGTGGTCGTTCTGGTTTATGATAATTTTCAGAAAGCTTTTTGGTTGTATCATACAATTGTCTGATGTTTCCTTCTCTTGCAGCCTTTACCGCTGTCATTCCTAAATCTTCCATGTATTTATGTTTTTCGGTTCTGATGCTGCTCTTCGTTTGCTTGTTTACTTCTGTGTATTCGGCTTGTGTTATATCCCGTGGAAAATTATGAATAGTAACTTTGAGGACTATTTATGGACCAATATGATATGTATATTTCCTATTGTATAATTTAACTGCATGAAATTATTGTATAATTGTTAAGTTACTTAAGTATTCATATTAATGTTCCCTTCATTATCAGCTTAATTTTGACCCATAGACTATTATTATACGATTTACCATTCTTGAGTTATTCCTAGTCCATTAATTACTGTTCCCCCTATTCACAGTCACATTTGGCTAAATCGTGTACAGATATTATTTTCTATTTTATGGACGATGTGGTCAGTTTGATTGTGGTATATAAACCCAGTATGTTTGTGAATAATGATTCATATTGCAGAGGCTATTAATTATGTTCTGAACTTAACTGGCTGGGCTAGGCAGAGAGCAGGACTGATAAGTGCTCAAGACTGCTCATACGGCTTTTGTGTATCATTGAGCGATCGATAAAAGACTGCTCTCCAATTGGCAGTCTTAGCAAACATATATATTTACAGGGCACACACTCAATAGATATAACAGCTTTTGCTTTGGTTTTTTTCTGTTCTTGTTCGGCTGATAATGATTGCTGCCTTCTTGTTCCTCCTTTCTTCAATCTTATTCAGTATGCCAACAGTGATCTCTTTCTTTGTGATGGTGCTTCTTGTGGCCTAGAACCTCATGACATGTTGAAGTAATTGCCTCTTTTATCCCTTTCCAGTTGCTCTCTATAGTAGTTCCCTCTCCATTGAGTAGATCATGAAAGGCCTAGAACCTGTTGCTGATGGCTATCTTGAATTTGTTGAGTTTGTCAGTATCCTGAAGAAATGCCCTATTGAACTTTTGTTATGGTGTATTCCCTATTATCCAGTACCTCTTAAGTCTTACTTTCACCTTCGTAACCAGCAAATGATGATCTGGTGCTATATCAGCTCCTCTTCTGGTTCTCATGTCCTCCAACGTCCTCCTGAAATTTTTGTTGATGCGGATATGATCGATTTGATTCTGTGTAGTGTGATCCGGTGAAATCCAAGTGACTTTGTGTATGTTTTTGTGTGGGAATATGGTGCCACCGATGACCAGTTTATTGAAGGCACATAGGTTTGCAAATTTCTCACCATTTTCGTTCCTTTCTCCCAGTCCATGTTGTCCCATGACTTTTTCGTATCCAGTGTTGTCCATTCCAACTTTGGCATTGAAATCTCCCATCAGAATGGTCAGGTCCTTGGTTGGGAACTTCTCGACGATTGACTGCAGCCTATTGTAGAATTGATCTTTAATGTCTTCATTGTAGTCGTTGGTAGGCGCATGGTTTTGGATGACGTTCATTTTAATGCCCTCTTTCTTTGTTCTGAAGGAGGCTTTGATGATCCATGGTTCATGAGATTCCCATCCTATAAGTGCCTAACCCTACCCCATCATCCCGGCATGGGACCGACAGTAGCCACCGGAGGGGCAACAGCCACCCAACAAAAATATTCAAAATCAACCCCATCACACAATCACATCACACACAAAACAGAATATCACATACATATTATTACAAACACATACAATCACAGCAGATCTACATCATCATCATCAACGTAAACAACACCACCACCAAAAACAACATCAACACAATCACAACCACCATGTCACACACTCCACATTCTCACTCTGTCCCGTCTCACTTCCACACTTCATATAATTTATTCACAAATCCAACCAACCACAGTCCCTTGCCTAGTCCCACTCACAAACAACGTCGTCTCCTCACTGTATCCAACAACTACTGTCATGTATGCCGATTGCTTAAGTCAGTGTGAACTTGATTCAGCACGTGCAATGGCATGCAGACACATTGAGTGGATAAGTGTTGAACAGACAGGATGAAACACACCCTCCCTCAATCACTCACTTATCATCTCAACGTGTTATACTGCGTGGTTTGTCGAAGCAGACAGTGGTGGATCGATTGACATGGTGATGAGCTGTGAGTGAGTGAGGAGGAGATGGTTCGCATGAGGTCTTCTGTCTGACTGATCTGTTTCGATGTTGATAGTGCATGTGCATGTGCGTGTTAGTTCGTGTGTGATGAGTATTGTGTAATGAGTATTTTTGTGTGTGTATTGTGTTTCATGAATAGTAAAGTGTATTTGGATAAGGGTGAAATGGAATGTTGATATTGAGGAATAAGGTTTGTAAGACTCCAATCATTTTTCGTGTAGCCGGTTGGTCTAAGGCACTGCACTGGGCACCACCTTCACACGGCGTCGGTTCGAATTCCACCACCAACATACCTATTCACAACCACTAACACCACACTATCACATCACACACAAACCCGCTATCACATGCATACTACTACAAACACACAATCACAGCCGAACATCATCATTTTCAGCATCAACAACTAGAACTTTTGGTGTTGGTTGATATGTTAAACCCGTATACTTAATTTTAGCTTTTGGATATGCGCATTTACCTATCCATCATGAGTCACGTTTTGACCTTGATAATTATTCACTTATTAACCATGACGATTTTTATCTTATTCATCACATGTCTGTAATTAATTTTCATCTGACTATAAATATTGATTAACGCTTGGTCGAGGCAAGTTGGCTTACCCGCCATCTTTTATGTTTGTCATTTTTGCTTTGCTCTCTTCTATTCACTTCATCACTCTGATTTCCTGTCCAGATCAATTAGTCGTGTATTACAATCATTCATATGATCGAAGTGTAGTCAGATCCTAGCCTTAGCCAGACATTCTGTTTCTGATTCGCCATATACAGTACATATGTCGATATAGTAGCACGCATCACAGGAGCAGTGGCAGTAGTAATAGCATTTGTTTTTGTTAATGATGACTATGATGATGTTCGGCTGTGATTGTGTGTTTGTAGTAGTATGCATGTGATAGCGGGTTTGTGTGTGATGTGATAGTGTGGTGTTAGTGGTTGTGAATAGGTATGTTGGTGGTGGAATTCGAACCGACGCCGTGTGAAGGTGGTGCCCAGTGCAGTGCCTTAGACCAACCGGCTACACGAAAAATGATTGGAGTCTTACAAACCTTATTCCTCAATATCAACATTCCATTTCACCCTTATCCAAATACACTTTACTATTCATGAAACACAATACACACACAAAAATACTCATTACACAATACTCATCACACACGAACTAACACGCACATGCACATGCACTATCAACATCGAAACAGATCAGTCAGACAGAAGACCTCATGCGAACCATCTCCTCCTCACTCACTCACAGCTCATCACCATGTCAATCGATCCACCACTGTCTGCTTCGACAAACCACGCAGTATAACACGTTGAGATGATAAGTGAGTGATTGAGGGAGGGTGTGTTTCATCCTGTCTGTTCAACACTTATCCACTCAATGTGTCTGCATGCCATTGCACGTGCTGAATCAAGTTCACACTGACTTAAGCAATCGGCATACATGACAGTAGTTGTTGGATACAGTGAGGAGACGACGTTGTTTGTGAGTGGGACTAGGCAAGGGACTGTGAATGAATGATGCGAAGTGTGGGGGTGTCACTGGTCTTTGTGAGAATCTAACCATTTTACGGATGCGGTGTTTGATTATATGATTGTAGAAACTTAGGAGAATTTATTAAAAACCACACTTTTCTTTTTTTTTTGGAAATTTTACCGTGTTGATAATGTCTTATGTATTTGTTTTTTATATTTTTATGAACAACTTCGTCCATTAGGTGTTAACTATTCGTTGTTAAGTAAAAATTCTCACAGTGATTTAATAAAATGTAGAAATCTTACATCCTATAGATCATTATTTGAATCACTTGTTGCTAGCTTCATCTTTCGTTCATTCTTGTTGTTATCATGTTTACGTCAAGTTTACCTCACTCTTTTCTTTATTCTATTCCTTTCAGCCTTCTGTCCATAGACATTCTGTTTTACACTGGTCGAACACGCTACTTCTGTCTGTCCCATTCTATTAATATGACTCATAATTTTTATTCCTATCGATCAATATTCTGTATTACGTAACTGACATCATAGTTCATTCCTTTAACCTACCTGATGTTTGATGAAACCTTCTAACATTCAACTCCTGTCAGTAATTATTACGAAATTCAACACCAATGTAATCCAAATTAATTGAATATGTATTTTATATCAAAGTGTTCGGTTACTTTGTTCAGTATGATTCTTCAGCTACGGATTTACTAAGTGAATACACTAACTGATCACTGACCAGAAGTAAACTATTGATTCACCAAGTCATCAATGTTGATTGGATCCTACCATTCTGGTTATAAAATACCGAAACAAATATTTTTTTGGAATGAATATATTGATTTGGCTAGAATAAGCAAACACGAAATCAATTTCAATTTGATCAGTGAAAAAGTGAATGTTCGAACATCTGAATGGTAACGTGTTTACCAAAGACGGTGATTGGATTATGTTGAGAATACCGATACCAGCTTCCACTGTGAGAATCATTTACTTCAAACAGACCTGGTTTTTTATACAAGCTAATTAGATCATATCATATTATGTAACAGATAGTAACATTAATATATAATCAAGACAAACAGTGGCTGTGTTTGTGGAAAACCGAGATTAAGAAAGTCAGTATAACTAAAAAATAGTATATCATATAATAATAGTCTGTTAATGAAAATAAAGCTTGTAATAAGAGGGATATGAATATACATACTATAGTTATTGAACACCTATACAATAAAAATATATTTATAGTTATAGTTCATTATTAGTTCTCAGAATTCGCCTACTATTTACATTTTAGAAGGATATAAACGTAAGGGATACTGACGGCATTCTAGGGCTTCATTTATCTCGATTGAGTAATCGACACTTAAATGGACACAAAGTTGATCTTCTTTACAACTGCTATCGGTGCAGGTTATTATGAGACGTTCACAGGTTGAATAACACATGAACACACATGAATAGCACATGGACTTTTAGGGATGGTTTGTGAATTTCAGCTTATCTATCTAGTCTAATCTCCATAAATCGACTGATGTACGGTACACTAAAATTAATAAACTTTCCTCTATAAATTCATTAGGTGTGACTTTACAATGTATATAACCTGAAATGATTAACATATCCTCCGATGCACTATGTGGTACGCATAAAAGATACGGCGGAAGTGTTGTGCTGCTGTATTCAGGTCCCATACCCATTAGTCTTCAGAGAAACATATTTACTACGGTTAAGAGAGTCGTTTCTCTTAAAATCTTTTGTTACTTTGGATGTTCTGAGCTTGAAACCTTTGGAACGTTCGTTTGGTTGTTGATTGCGTTTTCTCATTTTATAACGAATTTCTTTATGCCCCTTCTTTCTACTCCTTTAAAATATCAACCTCCAAATAACCAACATGTAGATGATGAATGACGGCCGTCATGATGACTATTTTGTGTGCTAGAATATTGCAAGTCTTTTCTCTTTACTACTTTGACGTGACAAAACCGACTTCCGTTCTCTACCAACGGAGTATCATGTTTCAAGTTCAGTAATTATTGACATTCTTTTGTTAATTTCTATGTGCTGGAACAATATTCAAGGTGGTTTGCTATTCTCCTTTGAATCCTCGAATTAGATGGTAGTTAATTCTTATTGTGCGAACTTGAGTGATATGAGATCGAATCCCACGAGCAGTAATGATTTCCTTGGAAGTGACGGTAAAAATCACTGACCAGTTTCAACCAACATGAAACCTAATTTCACTGATTTCTGCACACAGACTACAAACAGTGAATATTGTCCAACTCAATAAAAATGTTTCACAAATGAATTCAATTGAAAATTTTCATTTGAATTTGCAGCGACAGATATCAGTGTTAGAATATTTGAATATTCACCTATTAATGCTTCATTAAAGAGAAATTAATTCCGATTATGTTCGAAGTTTGTAGCGCAATGCTTCGCTAGACTTTCACATCGATAACCTATGTAATACAAATCTCAACGGTACATGAAATCAGAAGGCAAAGAGAAGTCGCAACTACAGTTTATTATCAAATAACGCAGTCCATAATGCTACAAGCACATGAGTAAGTATCAGTGAGCAAGTGCGAACAGTTACATAGGAAAATTTATAGTCAAATTGTACAAGGGCGCAGCAAGACGAAATAAAAGCTAATGATAGGAGTGCACACATATATAGGGATGATAATGAATCATCGTCTGATATTTAAGCAATCAACGTTTTGGTTTGAGTCTGTCATATGCTCTAGTGCTCATAACAGTACAAAGAAATATGCAACTTGTTACAAACCAAATGGCAATGTCTGTTAAGTAAGTTAAGAAAAAGGCTTACCCAAAATTAACCATAATCAAAATTAGGTGAAGGTTTGTGTGAAACATGAAAACATTGTCAAATGGAATATACATATATATATATATATATACAAAACTGTCCCAACACGTCATTTTCATCAGAAATTGAACGATAGCTGATTATTCATAAGTAGTATAGTAGCAACACGTGATTGACAGCATTCCAAAAGTACACAATAACTAGAGAATCATGACATCCATAACTGTACTTTGAATAATGAATATGAGCATTTCTGTCCTACAAGGAGTTGGTAGTGGTTAGAGTAAGGTTGTTGTTATTTCTCATGGTGCACCTCAAGATGATATTCAACTTCAATCAATATTCAACACAAACATTCATTTGGTCAACAGTCGAATGCGATTATCCAGAATATTGGATATAGATATTGATTTCATCTGTCACAGTGATTGATACAAAGCGATATGTAGAACGTGATGTGGATTATGTGATCAAGATGATTGACGGCAAACTCATAGTCAATAAACATGAGACGTAATAATTAGTCGAATCTAAAGGCATCGGAGATATTATTGATGGTTTCATGGATTGAATAAATGGGGATGTCAAAAATGGACAATTCTATAAGAAAACATTCACTAAACTCATTTGAAATGAGACGGCGAATGGTTAGTGTTTGTTCATATCTGAAGCGAGACCATCCCTGAATCCATATGGAAACTATTTGTTTTCACTTCAGTCTCTCTATAGAAAAGTAGTAACCATTTGTATAATGAAATATTTTTACAAATTTATTCCGTCGGCGTACGTGATTGTCAGTCATATGAAGGCATTATTAGTGAACCACATTCCTTATTATATTGTAGTTGCATATCTGGCTCATTATACAAAAAAAGAAAACCATATTATTTAATTATTTAGATAGAATATGGTGATAAACAATAAGAAGGTATTATCACTGACATTCCACGTACAACATCCGAGGTCAACAAACTGATGTTTTTTTTTCTTAAAATCACTCTCTCAGTTAATGTTCACTATTATTATCATTATTGTGACCTTGATAAAAGTATTTTATATGTGAAAAGGCATATTAGAATAGAAGAACTGAAATAGTAGATGTGATGGATATATGTAATATTCAAACAGATATTCCTGACTGAATCGTCAATTGACAGTACTCAATATAAACATTTTCTAGTGTACACATAAAGTAAGTGTTGTGTTCAGCTAAAACGAATACTGTTCATATACGATAAAATGTTCCTGTTGGACAATGTTTTCATCTTAGTTACTTTAGCTACACTTTTCAGCTGTCAAACAGATTATGGTGTCGAGATAAGTAGATATGCGGGAGATGAGTATATACTTTATGGAACTCAAATCGTGCATCACTATCTCTGTGACAATTACTTCGTAGTAATGTCAATTGACGCAGATTTGAAGAAATTATATTCAACTCATTGTCAGTTGTGCCTTCACCGTTTATGCTTGTCGATGAAAATTTAGGTGGCTCTAAATAACAGTTGTTCCTTGAGGCTACCTCAAATGAGTTTCTTGCTGGTGAAAAATGTTCGGAATATTGCTGAATAAAATGCAATTTTCGATGATCTGGATAGTCTTTTTTCTAAAATCTCAGATGCCATTTATCTCCCAAAATAAAAATGTGTAAGTTTTTTCAACTTAACTCCGCCTGTAGCTCCTCTGGTGGTTACTGCCGGTCCCAAGCCCAGGTAAAGAAGGAGGGTTGGGCATGGCGTTAGCGACCTCATCCCGTAGAAAATCAACTAGCTAGAAAAACGCTAACCAGAAAAAATCATTCAAACCATTTAAACTCTGCCCTGGGAGTAGAAGGAATAATTATGACGTCTCATGATGAAAGCCGAGTTCATTCGGAAGTCATGAGGCCGATGCACCTTCTTACAACCAGAGAGACAATTTTTATAGGTACATGGAATGTCCGAACAATGTGGGAGACCGGAAGAGTCTTCCAAATTGCTGCAGAAATGAGAAAATACAACCTGGAGGTGCTTGGAATCAGCGAAACACATTGGACGCAGGTTGGACAACAACGACTATCTTCAGGAGAACTTCTGTTATACTCCGGTCATGAAGAAGAAAATGCCCACATACACAAGGAGTTGCATTGATGCTGTCCAGAAAAGCACAAAATGCACTTATTGGATGGTAATCTTATGGACCAGGGATCATCAAGGCCTCCTTCAGAACAAAGAGAGAGGGCATTACAATGAACGTCATTCAATGGTATGCACCTACCAACGACTACGATAAAGACGCTAAAGACCAATTCTACGATAGGCTGCAGTCGATCGTCGAGAAGTGCCCAACCAAGGACCTGACAATTCTGATGGGAGATCTCAATGCTAAGGTTGAAATGGACAACACTGGATACGAAGACGTCATGGAACAACGTGGACTGGGAGAAAGGAACGAAAATGGTGAGAAATTTGCAAACCTATGTGCCTTCAATAAACTGGTCATCGGTGGCACCATATTCCCACACAAAAACATACACAAAGCCACTAGGATTTCACCGGATCACACTATACAGAACCAAATCGATCATATCTGCATCAACAAAAATTTCAGGAGGACGTTGGAGGATGTGAGAACCAGAAGAGGAGCTGATATAGCATCCGATCATCATTTGCTGGTCGCCAAGATGAAACTAAAACTCAAGAAGCACTGGACAATGGCGCGGACAACATCACAAAAGTTTAACAAGGCCTTTCTTCGAGATGCTTACAAACTCAACAAATTCAACATAACCCTCAGCAACAGGTTCTAGGCCTTTCATGATCTACTCAATGGAGAGGGAACTACCATGGAGAGCAACTGGAAAGGGATAAAAGAGGCAATTACTTCAACATGTCATGAGGTTCTAGGCCACAAGAAGCACCATCACAGGGAATGGATCACTGTTGGTACACTGGATGAAATTGAAGAAAGGAGGAACAAGAAGGCAGCAATCATTATCAGCCGAACCAGAGCGGAAAAAGCCAAGGCTCAAGCCGAATACACAGAGGCAAACAAACAAGTGAAGAGGAGCATCAGGACCGACAAACGTAAATATGTGGAAGATTTAGCGATGACAGCGGAAAAGGCTGCAAGAGAGGGAAACATGAGACAACTGTATGATACAACAAAGAAACTGTTATAACGTATAGATTTCTATGCCGACTAATATGTATGTATATGTCCAATGATACAGAAAATACGTACGAGCAGTCTTGGGTGCTATTCGGTCCTTCCTATCTGCCTAGCCCAGTCCGTTAGTCCAGAACACAAATAACAGCCTCAGCAATATGAATCATTATTTACAAGCATACTGGGTTATATATACTAACCAAACAGACCCAATTATACCAAAAAATAGAAAAATAACATTTGTACAGTAATTGGCCAATGTGGCTGTAGCTAGGGGGAAAGTAATCAATAATAATAGTTCCAAGGTCAAAATAAAGGTTATGATAAGAGGAACACGGAAACGATTAGGTCACTTATTTAACAACTATCCAATAGGAATAGGCTTATTACATTTGTCCATAAATAGACCTCAGATTTACGATTCATAATTCGCCAGGGGATACAACAGAAACTTGCTGGAAATTACCGTAAGCCAGAAAGATCAGTGAAAAGCAAGGAAGGCAAAGTAATCACCGACATTGAAGAACAACGAAACAGGTGGGAAGAACAATTCAAAGAACTCTTGAATCGACCAGCTCCACTGAACCGACCCAACATCAAAACAGCACCCACAGACCTCCCAATCGATATTGGCCCACCAACAATTGAAGAGATCAGCATAGCCATTAGACAAGTCAAGAGTGACAAAGCAGCGGGACCAGATAATATCCCGGCAGAGGCACTGAAAATAAATGTAGCAGCAACTGCCAAGATACTACACACTCTCTTCAGTAAGATATGGGATGAAGAACAAGTACCAACAGACTGGAAAGAAGAACTTCAGATCAAAATACCAAAGATAGGTGATCTCAGCAAGTGCAATAACTACAGAGGCATCACTCTTCTCTCAATACCAGGAAAAGTCTTCAACAGAGTATTGTTGAACAGGATGAAGGAATCCGTAGACGCCTGACTTCGAGATCAACAGACTGGATTTTTTAAGGATCGATCGTGCACAGACCAAATCGCTACTCTACGGATCATTGTGAAACAATCAATTGAATGGAACTCATCACTCTACATCAACTTCATTGACTATGAGAAGGCATTTGATAGCGTGGACAGGACAACACTATGGAGGCTTCTTCGAAACTATGGCGTGCCTGAGAAGATAGTCAATATCATACGGAATTCCTATGATAGATCAAACTGCCTAATTGTTCATGAAGGACAACTCACCGATTCATTCGAGGTAAAGACCGGTGTTAGAAAAGGTTGCTTACTCTCACCCTTTCTCTTTCTCCTGGTGATCGACTGGATCATGAAGACGTCAACATCTGGAGGAAATCATGGGATACAGTGGACAGGCGGGATGCGGCTTGACGATTTAGACTTCGTAGAAGACCTGGCTCTTATTTCACACACGCAACAACAAATGTAGGAGAAAACAACCAGTGTAGCAGCAGCCTCAGCAGCAGTAGTTCTCCATATAAACAAAGGGAAAAGCAAGACTCTCCGATATAATACAATATGCACCAATCTAATTACACTTGACGGAGAAGCTTTGTAAGATGTGGAAACTTTTACATATCTGGGCAGCATCATTGATGAACACGGTGGATCAGATGCAGATGTGAGTGTGCGGATCGGCAAAGCGAGAGCAGCATACCTACAACTGAAGAACATCTGGAACTCAAAACAATTGTCAACCAACACCAAGGTTAGAATTTTCAACACAAATGTCAAGACAGTTCTACTGTATGGGGTGGAGACTTGGAGAACTACTTAAGCCATTATCCAGAAGATACAAGTGTTTGTTAACAGTTGTCTATGCAATATACTTCGAATCCGATGGCCAGACACTATCAGCAACAAGTTACTGTGGGAGACAACAAACCAGTTTTCAGCGGAAGAAGAAATCAGGAAGAGGCGCTGGAAGTGGATTGGGCACTGCTGAATATTGGTGATGAGGTTTATCGAAGTGTGTTCCAGTGCAATGAACTGGATCAAAATCGGTGTTTGTATCATCACATCAACGATCGTCGCATCGATTTACAAATTGATTAAGCATAACTATTGGATCAGTGGGAAGTTGTGCGTAAAGCTTCTTTAGGTTTGTCATTCATTTACTGTATGCAAAGAACCAGTTTTGTGGAAAATATTAAATTAAACTGATTTTGCGTAATCATTTAACACCAATGGGAAATACACATTCTCAAACACACAACAAACTAATGGATCCCTGATTTTCCGGACGTTGTATTCTGTCATTAATAAACCGCTCCAATTTAAATCATCGTCGATCTAAATCGTTACTGTTTGATACTTTACTTAAATTTATATCTGTTAAGGTTTAATTTCATAAACTCATTCTACTACTGCAATCGTTATCAAAACAGTCCAGTTATTTGTAAATAATTACCTTCACAAGATACTCAATGTTCGTTGACCGGATATCAGCACACCGTGTATGGAAACAAACCAAATTTTAACTGATGAGAAAATCAAGTAAAGCCACTGGAGACGAAATTATCAAACTGAATCACGAGATATGCGCTTACTACTAATCGTGAGGTGCAAGAGAAAATTGGAAGACCAGAAAGCACATTGAGTCTTGAATTGTAGGCAGACATCAAAAATATTTCTGTCAATTAGAAACAATCTAAAAGTATTGCACAGGACAGAGTTGGATGAAGGATACTGGTGAGCGGCCTATGCTTCTTCATGAGCGTTACCATAAATAAGTAATTAATACACATAAACTGAGTGAGCAATACTTTAATCTTGTTCAGCTTATTCATCTGGTTAATTCAAGTATTTCTTGATGAAATTCTGATTAAATATTTTTGAATTTCAACTTAAAATGTTTACCACAGTAGAACCTCATTAGCGGATAATACAATGAACATTGCAACATCAAATCCAATCCTGTTTATTCACACTTAATGCTTTTTACATTTTCAATGGTTGTCAAAACTGATTATCACTGGAGCTATTTTGTGTTCGACATGAAAATATTCACATATTGGTAATAAGTAAAACTAATTTATTAGTCCTCGTTGGATACGTTTTAAAGAAGGTAGAGATCATTTAACAAAGAATAATCTATGACTGGATTAATAAGAAACAGTAAGGTACACCACATGTAGGCAATTAGTTGTTGAAATGACTTATTGTGGAATCTGCAAACACTAGGTACACTGTAATGAATTCGTGATCGGTAATTTTCAACATTCAAAATATGACAATCGTTTAAGTTATCATGATGAAATTGCATTAAGAAATGAATGTAACAATCTTATTATTATGATGCTGATCAATGGCTTTATTCATTATTAATTGCTTAATTCAATAAAAGAATTCTCAGTACAAGAAATTTCAATAAGTTTCTTTTATTGAAAATGAGGAAAGTTGAAAATACTGATGACCGCGTACATAAGTTGAATGAATAAACTACCGGAAAGTGAATGAAATGTCTATTTTAGAAGATCAAGAATGTTCACAACATTTCCAATCAGAAACATGTCTGAGAATACTGGTTATTGACTCCATCATCTAGTACAACCTATTGGTCATAGAGTTTACATTCTATATAAGATTTTGTAGAGCTTTTATACATTTGATTACATACAATCGGTTACATGCAAGAATTGGCGTATCGTATCAAGTAATGTCGCATAACCCTAAAAGCATTCAGTCTATTCATGAAGTATGTCATACTGAATGCTTACAACACACGCATTATTAACAATATGTAAAGTCCACAAGAAGGCATAAGAAGACACTATACCAAATAATTCATGATCTCAATCACACTGCTTCTGAGCACAATAACCCATTCATACTATTATATACACACATAATTTTTCCTCTGTTAATTAGATATTGGTCAACGGCGTGAAACGGTCAATGTATCATTGAAAATAAATGTGATGTTTATGTGTGCACGAAATTACTCACAACCATTTGTCCAAACATAGACTGTAATGCCCAATTGGACAATCTTGTGATCATTCTGGACATCTTTTTGAAGTAACACGGCACAATTCTAATGTAAGAACAATAGAAAGCTGGAAATCAGTTCTTCCTTTGTGTAATAATAATTTTTCTAGATTTCAGATACAATATTCACTATTTTAACTAAAAATTTGTGTCGGGTTCAAGAAATCGTTCTAAATTTTCAACAGTTCACTTTCAATGAAATGAATTGTAGTTCTCTCATTACAATCTTCAGACACTTCAGTGTACATAACTGAACACATTCAGTTCTACGTCTACATGATAAATGAGAAAATAATTATCATTTTTTGATCTAGACTTCTTTTTACTGTCAGTGGTATAATATGGTGGACCAATGGAATGAATGTGGTTTTGTTCATAAAGTTACAATTTCATAATGAGTGATGATGTAACCGTCTAAACAAATGTGTTGATGGAAACAAAAGTTCATCTTTAGGGGAATAACTTTAAACATCCAATCAAAACGGTCTGTGCTGCTTCGATTTTAACCAATCAAATCAAAATAATGCATCATTGACATACAATCAACAAAACAATACGGATAACGAACAATTTATTAGCAAACATATAAGCCCGAAATGCGAACTACAAGTTAACCAATCACCTATTTTTATGTATCGTCAATCACATCCAAAAACAGTTTCAACAACAGGGATCAGCAATTTCAACCAACGATGTAAAAATTTAAGCTGATTTTCTTTACAGTCAGAAGAATATTGGATAACAATGAAGTCATATACCTCCATGATTGGTTTACAGCGACACATGTGATTTTATTAAATTTGATATTCCTGATGGTCAATTTGAATCATCGAATCACAAAGAAACAACCAAACACTTCAAAAGTCTATATAAACACGACAATTTCTATTAGAATTTTTCATTTATAAATTCACATAAGAAAATAAGGTGAGTGTTGAATGAACATAGGAACTCAAATTGAAATTTGATTCAATGAGATATCGTTGTTGTTGTTTTGTTCATCTGGATCACTTTGCCTTGTCTATCGTTATCATTTAATTGGATCGTCATTTGGTCTTACAAATGTCTTCAACAGTGAAGACATTTGTAAACATGGTGAATTGTTGGACTATCAGAAAATAATATTTAAAAATGATTCACATCAATATGTAAGTAATCAATCAGATTGTAATACACATACACAGTCTCTTCATTATTATTATTATTCAAAGAGAATTCATCGTTATCAATTACATCCACTTGTGAATGGTAGTTTTATTGAATTCGGAGATGATCATATGAGGTGACTATATTTTGTGTTGAAGGTATTTATTCATAAGTCTGCATCTGTTTAGTATGTTACCCGTAAAATTCTCATTTAAATATTACGATGGTCATGTTGATGAATTTAATATTACTACAGTAAGGTAAGTCAGTAATTCAATGTCGATTTCATTCCTTCACTCTGTATCAATTTTATGCTTTATGAGGCATTCAAAATTTCTTGGAATATGTTTTCTTGTTCAACTTGTCAATAGTGTGTAACGCCCTTACAGCAATTCGGATACAGATAATGCAATTCATTTGAGTTCTTTTTTTTTGTTCATTTGAAATAAATTTCATTCATTCAATGTAAATTAATCAATCATGTTGCATGATTCAGTATTCAACATGGTTGTTACACAATAGTCATTGTTTTTCGTTGTGTGATGTTTATACCAAACGATGAATTTACGACATCTAATGATTATTGATAAGCGACAAAATTAAATAAAATAGAGAATCACCTACCAATAAACATACATTGACTGAGTAAATATGATAAACCATATGGTTTAATAGATAGAGTGAAAATTATTTACCATACAGTCTAGGAATAGTACAAAGAAGAATATCTCATCGATTCATCTTAGTATGTTAAATGAACTAGTCAATTCAGTAAATGGAACTGATCAAATGTGCAACAATATGCGATATTGTGAAAGACGTCACTTTGGATTACCAAAGCCTATGTATCTGTATGTTATATTTGATGTCCTCCAATACTTTTCGAGCACTATGTTGATTTATAAAAGTTTAATGTCTCTGAGTTTCTGTCTGCTGACCATTGATTATTCAATTCTATCTTTGTTATCATATTTGTATTATTATGATCTACGTATACAGGGAATTCCTTAGAACAGCTCATCAATGAGTGACTATGAACAGTCAGTTAGTACAAAATGATTCACTCGAACTAGAACACCGTGAACATCAGGGTTACATACATTCATTTTGGTCACTTATCGGAATTCATTAACAACATTATCTAACAAAATGATTTGATTTTGCTAGTGTCGATTGGATATTAAGAGACTTCTACTCAGTCAAAAGCTTTTAGTGCAAAATATTCTTTCGAATTGATTGGATTGAAACTTTCATCATATCATGGAAAGGACAGTACTGCTTTAAACTTCCACATAACAGATGAGTGGGTATTTAACCACACCATTTCATGTTTGCTTTGGAAAGTGAATAATAACTTATACGGAAAGACAGCCCGTGTTCAAACGTTACTTTATTAAATAAGATAGATATTCATTATGCAGATATTTAAAAATCTAATTTGATTCTCCTTATTACAGAGAAATTATTCGCTGTCAGATGGTCATTTAAATCAAAAGATTATGGTACAGGTATGTCAACATCAAATGGTTGATTCAACAAAGAAATGGAATCAAATTTGAATTACTGACTTACCTTACTGTAGTAATATTAAATTCATCAACATGACCATCGTAATATTTAAATGAGAATTTTACGGGTAACATACTAAACAGATGCAGACTTATGAATAAATACCTTCAACACAAAATATAGTCACCTCATATGATCATCTCCGAATTCAATAAAACTACCATTCACAAGTGGATGTAATTGATAACGATGAATTCTCTTTGAATAATAATAATAATGAAGAGACTGTGTATGTGTATTACAATCTGATTGATTACTTACATATTGATGTGAATCATTTTTAAATATTATTTTCTGATAGTCCAACAATTCACCATGTCTACAAATGTCTTCACTGTTGAAGACATTTGTAAGACCAAATGACGATCCAATAAAATGATAACGATAGACAAGGCAAAATGATCCAGATGAACAAAACAACAACAACGATATCTCATTGAATCAAATTTCAATTTGACTTCTTATGTTCATTCAACACTCACCTTATTTTCTTATGTGAATTTATAAATGAAAAATTCTAATAGAAATTGTCGTGTTTATATAGACTTTTGAAGTGTTTGGTTGTTTCTTTGTGATTCGATGATTCAAATTGACCATCAGGAATATCAAATTTAATAAAATCACATGTGTCGCTGTAAACCAATCATGGAGGTATATGACTTCATTGTTATCCAATATTCTTCTGACTGTAAAGAAAATCAGCTTAAATTTTTACATCGTTGGTTGAAATTCCTGATCCCTGTTGATGAAACTGTTTTGGTCTGGTTTCATTATATTTACTGCTTTGCAGATTTGTAATGATGTCAATACTTAAAGTATAAGAACTTATTTCGCATTCCCAGCATTCTTTTATGAATTACTCAGGCCTACTTAATGTGCATTTCGGTTTAATTCACTGTAAGATCCATTTTGAAGGTTTCGTGTATGTGTGAACATCCCTCCATGTGTATATTTTTAAGGGATTCATATTGATTCCTACAGTTGTACATTTTGTTAGTCCTTTTTATCCTATTTAAAATGGCAATATTTGTATTTTATTATAGTTTTTATTCTCCTAATGTCTTCACAGAGTTTCCATGTGTCTTCCTGAACTGAATTTATATTGTTTTACTTGATACTTAATCTTGGAGGCATTTATAATGACTTGTTCACCCTTTGATTGTGTTGTTTCATTGACTGAGATTGGGCATTTTTGATTATGAATTGAAGCACTCTTCTACAGTTGGAAACACTGTGTTATAAAGCAGCCAAATAAAATTCTTCGAATGAATCTATAAATGATCTTACAAGCTTTATCAACTTGTTTGTTTATTATAAATTAGAATACCTACACATTTGATCAATTGAACAATTACTGGTTGACTAACTGGGCAATAATATTTGTTGTGGTAATAATATACATTTATATTTATAATGAAATGTAGAACCATCATTTACCTAATCCCCTTGTTTTGGTTTCAATTGAGCAATAACCCGTATCTAAACTACTTAGACAGTCAATCTTAAGTCCAAACCATAGTTTGGATTGTACACCTAGGTGTTCTTCTTTTTTTAGCACTTCATATCAATGAATTATCAACTGTAGCGAAGTTATCCATTCTACTCATAGCCGATAACATAATGATTTGGAGACTCATACATATTATATCAGAAGAAATAATATTACAGAATGATCTCATCTCAATGGTAGCATGGATTGACGGATGGTCACTAGAACACTAGAACGACATAGAAATAATTTATGTTTTCAGAAAGTTGAAATCATGAGCCAGTTGAAGCTAGACCACCATCGAAAACCTGAAGGCAATTGGTGAAGTGTCGCTCATAATTCGTGGATCAGTTGAAGTTAGACATTAACACCGTTGGATGCCGGCCAGCTCAGTGGTCTATCGGTTAAGGGCTCTGGCTCGTAACTGGTAGGTCCTAGGTTCGAATCTTGCGAGTGCGGGATCGTGGGTGCGCACTGCTGAGGAGTCCCATAATGGGACGAAACGGTCATCCAGTGCTTCCAGGTTTTCGATGGTGGTCTAGCTTCAACTGGCTCATGATTTCAACTTTGAAATTTATGTTTTATTTATTGGTAAATAAGAAGTTACAGAAAGAACAACCTTTACACACTTTTTTTTTGCACTTCATTAAACATTTCGATTGATTATGATTGAAATATAAATTAATAACTTACCACTTGTTTGATGTAGACGAACTATTGTTTCCAGA